GCTCGACTGCTAGTTTTTCTTAACTTGCTATTTCGCAAGAAGAATGTTTCAGAGTTGTGGAATGGATTTGCGATGAATGCGCCTAAACAGCGGGAAGGATTTGTAGCTGTGTATCATTAGCTACCTCTTTCTTTTTTCTCGCAGAGTTCTGTCTCACCGAGTCCCCCTCCCTGAGATTGAAACTTACTGCCCCTGTCACTAATTGTACGTCAGAAACTCTGTGAAGTAGAAGCGCGTCGCTATGGTGTATTTTAATTTAATGGTAGAGCCGTTGCCGAAGTGCGGAGCTAATAATTGAAGTTACGTGATTCATTCTAACGGGGTATTTCTGTATAATTTCATTGCTCAGTTTCGCTGTTACGGCGCTGCTCACTGTCCAATCCTCCTGTTTGAAGGTATTTCTCCGTTGCTGCCCACTCTGTTTTTCCAGTCACTGCTTATGCTTTTTTCGTGTCTCTGCCAAGTGGCTGACCAGAGAGGTTTCGTTGACCTCACACAGGCAGGGGACATGTAGATCGAGATTTTCAACGGTCACTTGTGCGTGTTGTTCGTTCCTCTCGTTTAACTACGTTTGGTTTCCTTCGGGCTGAACTTACAGCACGCCTTACCAGTTGCTTTGTATGGACTGATTATTGCCGTTGGATTCCTGCGTTGGAGATTCGCTGATTTGTTTTAACAGTGGCTTGACATCCCCTCTATTTATACTTATTTTCTGTGGTATGCTTCACTGGTTTTTGGTGCTTCTCTATGAAATGTGAAGAGGCATGATTCCGCGCTAGGTACCTGAAAAATTAGGGCATAAAGTTCGTAAGGTCTTATGCATTAAAATGAGAAAATATTGTTTATTAGACGTGTACAATATTTACACATCTTCCTGCATAGAGGAAGGCTGAAATACACTAAACAAAGCTTATGTTCAATCAGAAATCGATTATTTTGTGAAAAGGAAAGAATCAAGGCCAAACCTCGCCCAAGCAAAAGTCACTTACTTCGGAAGGTCTCCTTATTAGAGAAAAATCATAACTTACCCAGATTTTCGTAACCACCGCTCGTCCATAAATGGCTATCATTGTAGATGAAATCCGTTTTAGTTAGGGGTGGCATGTCTTCGACGCATGTCACAAAGGTCATACCTCCACCGACGTCTTTGGCGGCGCCGTTGTGTTTTTCATGCCTAGGCCTGACGCTCCGGCTTAGACACGATTCAATAAGCGAGACACAAAAATAAAACGAGATAGGAAGTGGAATGAAGGGGACGCCTCCCGAAGATTTATTTAACGGTTAGA